TTTTTTTTTTTCAAGGCATAATTTCCATCAAATCTGTTAGTGGATCTTTTGACATGGCACCAGAAGTTTTTAAATAAGTAGTTGTAGGAATATGCATCAATTTGTATATATTTGGTAACTTGCCTCCGGTGGAGCGCACTATGTACAGTACAACAGCAAAGGTCAGTGACATTCCTATTATGATGTCTGTGCTTCCTTCCACTGCCATATTGCTCCATGTGAACAAAAGTAATTCAGAATATGGGGACGAATTACATCCGATGTTTTTTTCTTGAATTGTTGTTTTATCTAGAAATACCTATGTTTGTCAGGCTTTTTTAAAAATTTCTGGGAGATCTTCTCAGCAAATCGGTGGGTCAAAAATCAAAAGCCTCCCGAACAAAATTGGGAGACTTGGCATGTATGATATATGTGTGTGAGTATATAAAATATATATAACGATTCTACCATCAGGGCACTTTTGAGCAAATAGGTTTAATCCCTACTACTGTAATTAGATTGATTAGGTAAATTATTTATTGATGACCCCTAACATAAATATGCAGTTAGCTTTTTACATTGTTCATAATAAATATAAAACAGTTCTTGACCATTAGTGATTAGGGGTGCTAAAGAAAAGCTAGTGACTGGACAAAGGCTTTTATGAAAAGAAACTTTTATCTTTTCAATATTAAAGTAATTAACACAAAGTGGATTATCTGCACAAATTGCAAAGTGTCATTTTCGATAGATTCTATAAAATGGGCTTTAAGAGAAAAGGACTGGTGTTATTAATGGTTATTTATTTGTATGAAACTTGGTTAGTAATTAAAATGTGATGGAATAAAGAATACTACTTGTGATCATTTAAACAAAAATATATAGTGAAATCTTTTTATTCATGAAATGATTAATGCTTGAATCAAGTACAATAATTGCTGTCACATTATTTTGAATATTTTCATCGATGAATATTCTCGTTGTTGGATATGTATATGTATGAAAAACAAAAGGTGCAGACTGTTTGATATTTTATTCTTGCTAAACTTTAAAGCTGTTATATGTAGCTGATGTTTACTAACTTCTTTCGATTAAATGAAGTCGTATTGAGTATTCCTTTATATAAACAGATGTAATGAATGTTGCTGTACAGTGGTCGATGGTTGGGGGAGGGGAGCTTCCAGTATCCACTTGGTTGATTTTCATCATGGCTATCTCACTCAAGAAAATCTCAATAATTGGTATGCCACAAATAATACTGAACTCATGTTAGTTTGGTTTCATTTTTCAAGCTTTTGATAATTTATTACATTAATAATTTTGTGTTGAGGTACAGTATACACTAGCTTCAGGTTCAGTTAGAGACATGATGGACTCTATCCTGCCATTGCATAATGTACCAGCAAGGCAGGATCTGTGTTTGTTGTTCTAATTACAACTGCTAAACTTAATAGAGCCAGATCTAATGGGGCATTATTGAATGGTAGATCTACCTGTAGTGAGTTTTCTGTTGGATCAAACTTGTGCATGAGTATATGATACCTACAGTTGTATACATGTGATAATTGCTGATATATATTGTTCATTGTTGTGTTGTGTAGTAATACTTCCTTCTGAAATTTCATTTTCTTTTATGTTTATTTTGATCCACATTTTTTTCTTCAAATTAGTTAAGTGTCCTTATCAAGTATTTTAAGTCAAAATCCCTTTTCACAGTACACATATGTAGTGTGTTTTGTTAATTTGATTTTTTTTTCAGCATTTGTTTTCTTTTTCTTTTGGTTGTGCTTTTTATTTTTTCACTGTTCTGTGATTTCTTTCCAATTTTAATGTCATTCTTGTGGTAAACAGAATAAGGATTATTTCATTTTACTGAGGTGTTCATTTCTCATTTATTTTTTACGTTTTCTTAAAATGCATTTTTTTCTAATTACATTTGTATTTGAAGATATATTGGTATTTTGCACTGAAAAAGATTATTTCTGAATCTTAACCAAATCACAAATCGTAGTGAATAAATTTTGAACTTATTATTCTTTTTGTGCTTATATTTTTGACCCTGCTAACTATATTATGGCTATGTTCATACATCTGTCTGTATCTAAACAACTTCGAACTGAATCAGTCCAGTCAGATATGTTAGCCTTGAAGGTACAAAGAAATCTTTTAATTCCTGGGCCTGACAGTTAACATTAAATGTCAATGAACCAAAAAGGAAAAATGTTTCTTGCATACTTTGAACTTTATTTCTGCTGCACACACTATACAGGTTTCTTTTCCCCACACTAAGAAAAAGAACTTTGCCTTGAGATCTAGGGATTAAATGTCAAATTAAAGAGATAAATGACTCAAGAAAGAGAGTTTGGGCTTGTAGTATATTTGTTTTACGTTGCTCGTGTTCATTGTTGCTCACTTTCATTGAGTGGCTCAGCCGGCAGTATATAGCAGGTCATTGCCATTTTGTTAACATGTTAAAACATGTTATATATTCCTCCTAATGAAAACTTTATATGAGTGATATGTCATTGATGTCATATGCTGTACATGTATATATTTATATCACTTTCAAATACTGTACACATATTTGCCCTTTGAATGGAATTAAGGGTTACTACAGGCAACTGTGTTATTGACCGAATGAATGACCTCCTCATCGCTTTCGAGTATGTCCACTATAAATGTAGCTCCGTGCGGTTTGTGGCTATTTACAATCACCTTTGCATATTGATTAGTTGATTGTTTTCTTTTTGAATTTCTATTTGTATTCAGGTTGATTAAATCAATGTAAGACACAGTTATGATTTAAACAAAGATAGTTTTAATGAAGAAAATAGAGCACTACAAATACATGGACCGCATGTCTGTACATGATTCCCCAGTGCTAGACATCATTATAAACTGTCACATTGCAGACATCGTAGCAATATGACTGAAAAATTGTTAAAGCTACGTTACAAACGTAAATCACATCACCCAAATGCATGATTAGCTCAGCTATTTACATGAACGCTCGGTCATTCACGTACCAGAGCATGGAATACAAACTCTGCGTAATGACGAATCAACAAGAACTAATTAAAATATCTTAATATATTTACAGTTGATCTAAGTCATTATTATGCTTAATAACATTACTACCGACCATAAAATTCTCTCTTCGTTTGGTCGGTTTGACTTAACTTTTACCATCATTCATAGGCCCAGAGACATTGTTGTATGGCACAAGTGGAAATCTATGCTCGTTTTTTTTTTTTACTAGATTTTCGCCCGTATCTTGCTACGATGGTTCATAGGGAGAGGGAGTAACCGTTCGACATTTTCACATTTATTTAATAATAATCAATTTTAAAACATTATAATAGGTTTAAGAAAGAACAACAACAACAACAAGGAAGAATTAAATACATCTCAGTATGTCCCACATAACCGAGAAATTTACTATATTGTCGACAGGCATTTGATGGTAGGAGTCGATAATAACATAGTTTCAGTTTGCTAGGCCTGTTGATAAGCGATTACTATATGCCGCTATCGCACGGTGGTGGCAAATTCGAAATTTTCGATATGCAATTGCTCTGACCCCACCCCAACCTAAATGTCCAAATGTGAAAAATAGGATGGAAATATTTGGAGAAAACCCGGACTAGAAAATGGACTGCTATTCGTTCTGGGCCAAATTTTGTTGTCCAAAATGTCGAATCTCTGAGCTGAACTCTGATGCAAAATTGTTACACGGTGACATGTACCTTGAAGTATTGGTTTCAGATCTTGAATAGAATGCAGGAGAATTGGGAAATTGTCATTCATTGTATTATATATTAAAAACGATACAAGCCTGTGTATCAAAACAGGTTTGGCGACCGGTTTATCGAATTACAAGAAGACAAGTTGATTGATGTTACAGAAAATTCAGTCCGTGTTTATGCAACAATATTTTAATTTTGAAAGTCTTTTGTCAAAATTTAAATGAACCCTTTTGTAAATGTTTTTAAATGATGGATTTTGAACCAAATCGTTTTAAGGAGGTTAGGTTTGAAAAATCTTGTTTGGGATTTTATTGGCACATATAAATTCTGGGTTAAACTTTTTCTTTAAAAGATTAGATTCGAATACTTTTACGTTTGTTTTTTCATACTGTGATAGTAAATGTCTACTTTGTATAACATGCACATATATTGCTATATAAGTCTTTAGAATTAAAGGAAACAAAACTGATTTTTGTTCATTATGTTGCTCCATATAGTAACATAAAGCAGGTGAACAAAGTTATTTTTTATATTATGCATATTCTGTACTTTGAAATGACTACATGCCAGTTTATAGGAATGTAATCAAACTTGTTTTATGTGATGCATTTGTGATTTTATACATAATCATCTCTGATAAAATGTTTTGGAGAGCCTTGAAAGAGTGAAGTCTTTAGATTTTCAAAATGAATGTTTTAAAATCTCAAATGTTCTTTAATTCCATTAAATAATGGTCATATGAGAACTTGAAACAAAAATGATTTCACTATGGAAACACCTTGGAAAGCACCTGGAACTTTGTCATTACAAAAGCGTGGGAACCATGGATAAAGCACACCTTCAGAATTTTGCAATCTACAACAACTTGTCGAGAAATAGTGATAAGCCCCCCAACCCCGTCATGAAATAAAACAGCTCCTCAGTCAAATCTCCTCAAGCTCTCCAATCAAGCAATCAGATCTAATTCATCTTATTAAAAAATTATCAGGACCCCTTATTGTACATTGTGACATTAAAGGATACCATACAATGGGGGAGGGGTGCAATGAAGAGTAAGAGAAGACAAGAGATGTGGGTCTTTTTCAAAACTCAATCATTGCCTTTTTAATGACAATTCATGTACCTACCTGGACTCTGTCCTTCCATTAGAAGGCAATCTAATTTCCATGCAGCAGTGTCAACAATAGACTTATATCAACTGTACCAGGTACATAACAAACGCCCAATACAATAAACTTTTATCCAGCCAAACAGAATTTTCATATTGCTGGAACCGCTACGGTGGCCTAGTGGTTAGAGCGTCCGCCTCGAATGGTGGAGGTCGTAGGTTCGATCCCCGGTCGAGTCATACCAGACTTACAACAATGGTACTAACAGCTGCCTCTCTTGGCGCTCAGCATTAAGAGGTTAGTGTTAGGACTGGTCGGCCCAGTGTCAGGATAATGTGACTGGGTGGGACAACATTCTATATAGGGATCAGTTATTGATCATTTATAGGAAAGATAAATGTAATGCACTTGTGCATAAATTTTGTTTGCAAAGCTTGAAATCAATTGCAGAGGGATGTCAGAGAGACAGAATCCAATTATTTTTGTAACAAAGTTGAAATGAATAAAAGCAACCCAAATAAACTATGGCAACAGTTAAAGTGACTGGATTGCAGTTCTGAATAAATAAAAGATAGTGCTATTGTCGTGGAAAGCAACTGTCACAGCCCCAGTCATATTGCAGATCGGTTCAATAACTTCTTCACTTATGTAACATATAAGCTCTTGGAGAAATTCTCAAAGCCTTAAAACAAATTTACAGCAGATTCAACAATATTAATATATTTATAGAGCTTTACAGGGCAAGCAACATTCATAATACAGCGTAATTTTGAATACTCCTTTTCTTCAAGGTATGCCGGAATGGTAAAACTCAAAAACAAACTCCAGATAGCTTAAAATAAAAGTGTAAGATTTATAGGTGGCCTGGATCCTAGATCAGGTCTCCGACACAATGAACTTGAAATGCTGTGAATCCTAAAAGTGAAAGACGGGGTAAAATAGTGGTGACTAAATCATGCTCATAAATTGTTTTATGAGAAAGTTCATCCTGTTTGAGCCAAAGATTTGAAAAGATTAGTGATAACCATTTTACAAGGAGCAGTACATTTTAAGATGTGTTAGTAGCGTAATCATGACGAATTACTTCTATCACACCATAAATGACTGGAACTTATTTTACTTATTTTACAGAACTTTATTTTACAGAACTTTAGCATCCATTATTTTTACATTGATCTGATAGTACTTCATTTACTTGGAAGGGTTTTGTTTTCCTAAGGATTTTTAAAAATTATTAATGTATTCGTATTTGTATATCATCTTTTTTTCTTGTAATACTCGTGTTGACGTTTATTTGGAAAAGTTTATCTTCCGACAGTAATTTGAGCAATTATTTATCTTTACATTTTGATTATTTTGATTTTAAGGGCAAAAATAAAGCTGAGATGCTGTTGAACCCTAATACATACATACATACACACATACATAAATACATACATACATACATACATACATACATACATACATACATACATACATACATGCATGCATGCATGCATGCATGCATGCATGCATGCATGCATGCATACATACACACACACACACACACACACACATACATACATACATACATACATACATACATACATACATACATACATACATACATACATACATACATACATACATACATACATACATACATACATGTGTGATGTGTCGAATTTTGAAAACTCTTAGAAGTATGGATTAAATGAATTGTACCAAAGTCATCTTAATTAAAGTAGAGAGGGCTAGAGACAGTTATACGATTATTCCTATCTCATTTCAGAACATCAAAGGAAATTGGTTCCGCGTAACGAAACTTGACCGAGTCGTTTGTTATGGTACAAGGGTTTTGGCATAACACCCTCCCCAAACTCGACCGGTAAAAAGGAGAAGCAACTCGATTATTGATTGTTCAAAAGAACGTTAATTGCGGCTTGATTAGCCTGCTTCGTCAATCAAAAATTATGCGTAAAAGAATTTAGGAAAGAGTCGATTCTGATTGGATAATGGAAACTAAAGGGAGTAACTATTGTAAGGATTAGTGGTTCTACTAGCAAAAAATTACTCCAGTCTTCAATCTTACTTGAGAGAAGTAAAAGTGGCTCAGGGAACGTAGAAAGTACGTTCTCGTGATTGAGTAAGGGGCCAGATAGTTGTCTCAATTAGGAGACAGGCTCTACATTGGAAGTTCGTGGGAAAACGAATGAAAACGGCAAAGGTACGCACTCTTAGTTTCCCGATTTTAATATGCTATTTCATTTGTTGATTTATTTGCAAATGTATTGATTTTATGATGTATGTATGTATGATTTCATTTTTCAGGATTTTAATGAAAAGTAAGTCACGACATTTTAGTTTTTAATTTTCTAATTATCAATTCATTGAGAGAATTGACAAGATTGCATGTAATTGAATGTTCATTGAGAGAATTGTCACGATTGCATGTAACTGAATATTCGATACATATGAGTGCTTAGGAATTTTCAAGAATTAAACATAATAAAAGATAGATAATGTTTCGTAGATTTATGAATTAAATCTGTGTCTAGTATGCCATGTATTGAGGGTATATTCATATACTAGTTCGTGATATTTAATTGGTTACGTAAACTATTTTAGAATAGTTAGATCTGATGGGTTAAGCCATATGTAACTTAACACTAGGCTGTATTAATGTAAAAAGTCGAGGGGGTGTTAAATACGGGCACATACGTGCTGGTCGTTAAACGGTAGCGGAATCTATTGTTCCCCGCTAGCGTGACCCGAATTAAGGTCAGGATACATGTAATGGTCGTCTCTATTTGTAAACATAGAAATTAGTGAACGAGTGAGTACGACAGAATTTAGCTGTATACAATATGAGCTGGTTAATGTATAATTATAGATATATACTTGGAATATGTATTTATTGTTTATTGCGGGACATTTTATTGATTTAAGGAAACAGCTTCCTGTGCAAATTCTAAGTAACAGAACAAATTCTGAGCAAATTCTACGGCAGAATTCATCTGAAGAATCCCCAGCCGAAGTCTAGGTCTAGAGACGATCGTCAAATCACTCAAGTTCCGACTGACAAGAGTCCAAGTCCAAACGACTAGTCAAAAGTTGGCAGTGCAGGAAGGAACGGGAAAGTCGATGTCCGGATAAGATAGGTGATGAAACTGAATTAATTCTGATGAAACTGAATTAATTCTGTCACTGACAAGTAATAGTAAAGTGAAAATTTGTATTGCTTTTATTGAGTACATGTTAGTACATTTTCTTCTTTTGTAACAAAGAAATTGATTTCTTCCATTTGAAATTCTGTTGTTGAATTGATTAAATTTTATATTTGTTCATTGAAAGAGGCCTCGTTTTTTTTTCTTCAATATACTTGACTTTAGGACTAAATCACTATTTATGGATTATTGTGAATTCATTTTTGATTATATCATTGTGATACATCAAGACTATTACCACAGGAACGCAATTCAGGCTATTGGTACATTAGCACATTCAGTATTGAAATTCATTCAGATCACCACAAGAATTAATTCGGAATACTTTGTATTTTGTGGGGCTCGATAGAACTTTTAGGACTATTTGGGATTAAATTCACCAAAAGTTCATTTAAAATTTTTACTTGATATTTTTGGGAAATAAATTATTTCTTTAATTTTACAAAACTTGCTGGTTTCTGTTATTTTCTCTTACGTAGTTTAAGAGTCGTAATAGCTTGTAAACCCATAGCGACCAACAGTATAAACTAACCCCACACCCTCAGAAGTTTGCATCTGATATACCTCAAATAAATGACTATTTATATATTCATCCAGTGGATTGGTTTTGTTAGAAGAACCTGTCAAATATGATTCTTAAAATCCAAGCATGATTCTAGCAATTGTAGCCGAATCATACATAGTAAATTTGCAAAGATATGAAATTCGGTTCAACAACTTTAATCAGCAAATTGCAAAAGTTTGTCAATTGTTTAAAAACTGTTTTCCCAACCCCCACCCACTAAATCGATACTGATTAACGTATACATACATATCATTTACATACTTCCAAAACTGAATACGCTGGTTTGTTTAATGTCGCTTTATCTCGTCAGCTACACCTCCCTACAAAGGCGACAATGCGCTAATATGATACCTGTCCTTTTTCCGAAACTAGCGAAAACTAGAAGGAGAATTCAATTATTTATTCAAAGACAGCCTGTTCAACTTCGTTTGAAATGAGAAACAGAAGCAGACAACATCAACTGAGTGGCGGCAGCTTGGCAACAGCAGCCAATTGAAACACCCCCTCTCCCAAGATATTGTAACATGCACATGTCATTGTTAGTAGATGTCGGCATTACGAATCCGCATTCATAGAAGCACCCTATAAATGTGCTCTATTTAATAGGGCACTGGGCGAAGGCCATCTGCATTTGTAAATTTCACTTTTGATAAATGCAGCTGTTGCTATTCATAAATTTTAAAATGTTCAGAGTAAATCAATTTGATGACTGTACCAGACAGGTTGGTTTCAAATTTGTTTATGTGAACGTGTTAAGTTAAAATTTAGTTAATACGGATAACGTTCTTGTACATATTTCTTTTTATATTATTGAATCTTGTCAAACGTCTGTAGTCTATCAATTTAAAATTTGTAAAAGCATATTTGCAGTCAATAATAATGGCTGGATTAAATCATTTTAGTAATTTCTTAAGTTTGATATAATGTGCAAGAGTTTGGTTGAATTTTCAAGTGCCTTCTTATTATCCCTCCTAAATCAGAGATAAGAATATCAAACAGTACCTATAAATTACTTTGGCACCTAGACATTGTAAATTGTTCTCGCATAAAATTTCCATAGTACGGACAAAACATAATGATTTTTCTTCCTTCCTAAGTATCTTGAAATGTATCTGATATTGTGCACTACCAAATGATATATGTTGGGGTTAACCTTCTGAATTATGACATCGTCAAGAAAACGTGTAAAATATAATAGTTATCTTCGCTTTCTCAAGTCAGAAGATTCGGAGCCAAATCCATGCGTGGATCTGGAAAGTAGAAAGTGTAATTCATATCACGAGGAACAACGACAATTAAACACCTCGTAAACCGATTTCGCATTTTTTTCTTCAGATTTTCCCAATCCAAGAATTCTGGAAAGGAACTACCGCTATACAAAAAAAACCCCTGTTTAATAAAGATTTCATTGCCTTGCATAAATCTAAATTTTATCTAATATATTTGATAGAAAAATTGGGTAATAAGGAAGCA